AACTTCACAAAAGTCTGGCAACACTGCTACCTTCACTCACTGTCAAAAATCGTGAAAACAAAAAAGGTCCAATTTTCAATTATTTCCTGAAAAATTCAATAAAAATGTCTGGTCAGATCGATAGTAATTGCAAAGTACATCCAGTAAAAGTTCCTCTAGAAACAGACCAAGGTATTTTGGAGAGCGAAGAGATAAAATGGGGACTACCTTTGAAAGAAGTTTACAAACATGGATTGTCGTTTTATAAAGGTACCCAATTTTAATTTGTGATTTTCGTGAATTTTAGTTATACAAATATATTAATAAAGTCACAATTATCAACAACATCCAACTTTTACTAGATATGCATACAGTCTAACATTATAGTTATAATGTTTCCTAATGATAATTTTTTGCAGAAAAAGAAGGCAAAGCATTACATCTCAGTTACGAAGATAGGTTGAAGCTAGTTGCATATACTCAGCAGACTGCTCACGGTCCGTTTGATCCAAATTCTTTATCTCCATTGGGTGTCCTCGACGTGATTGGTCGAGATCGGCGTGCAGCTTGGCAGGCTTTGGGTCAAATGTCACAGATACAGGCTATGGCTGGATTTGTGCATACTTTAGACAGGTAACAGTTTTTGCTTTATTATTGCAATTGGTTTATCTTCATTGCTCAATGTAGCTAGTGCACATCTTTTTTAATTTTGTGAGATGCAGGCACCAACTCCAATCTGCTGGTCAAGTACCAGTTTCTCTCCACAACTACCCTTTTTCATTATGTATAAAAAAGTGTTGCTCTTTGTGTGTGAAGATTTAAAGTTGCATGTCTGGCAACAACTTGTCCCTGCAAATATATTATAATGGTCCAGAATTACCTGAAATTCTGTCATTATTTCATTGTGAAAAGATGTGTATATTAACTATTGGATCAAAGGAATTCATGTTATAGGAGGGCCATATGCAATGTATAGATGACAGCATAACAAGCTACTCGTTGCTGGATCTTATTCTGTTGCTCGGAAGGTGATATTCAAACAAAAAGTGAATAGCTTGATGTGCTGTTGACTGTACAAGGTGTGGCAGAAAAATAATGAGATTGACTTTTTATTTACCAAAGTTTTTATTTTGTTATATTTTTTATATTGTTATCCCGTTCAAAGTAGTTCCCTTGGGCATCTACACACCGATGGAGATGTTGTTCTCATTGTTGGTAGCAGCTCTGGAAGTCTTCAACCAGTATGGTCTTCAGCATGTCCGTCACACTCTTTTGGAGGTTTTCCAAAGTCGCAAAAAGACGTCCTTTGAGGACTTTTTCAGTTTAGGAAAAATAAAACACTCACAGGGACTGAGGTCAGGTGAATAGAGGGGCTAGGGAACCACAGGAATGCCTTTTGAGGTCAAAAATTATGTTATGGAGAGGGCAGTGTGACATGGGGTGTTGTCATGATGGAGCATCCATTTGTCTGCAATGACTGATCTCACGCGAATGACCCTTTTTCTAAGCCGTTTTTTTGTATCTATTTTTTTATTGAGGCTTTAGCCACCTTAGGAGACTATGTCAGCCTCATGGGAGGAATACTGGGTTCCCTATTCAAGGGACATGTTCAAAAACTTTAAAAGTTTAGGGCGCCAAGACATACAGGCTCTCTGAGCCAACAATTAATTTGTCCATTGCATAAACTTACATCCCCAAACATTGTATCTCTATTCTCAGGGATATGTTACGGTCACATTCCACTAATACATGATACAGATCCTCTATTATATTGCAAGTACTGCACAATGGGGATGGTTTTAAACCCATCATATGAAAGAATTTATTAGTTGGAATGTGACCAGAATGCAGTCTAAAAGCCGATACAAGATATTTCCTTGCTATATTGTCAGAATCAAACCAGGGTACCCATTGTGGATTACTCTGAATGGTTCTGTACTATATTCCAAGGCCTTTATCCATTGACTGTTCTCTGAAATGATATTCCCATTTTTCTAGGGTTCTTTTCTTAATTAGTGGAATAATCACGGTGGCATAAGGCTTACAATCAATTACAGTATCATTTTCAGCAGCTGATTTTGCAAAGGAATCAACTTCTTCGTTTCCGCGCAATCCCACATGGGAGGGAATCCATTGGAGCCTTAAACGCACACTTCTGCGGTGTATGTTGTGGATCAACTCATAGGCTATCGGCATGCCTCAATGACCCGAGACACACCAAGCAAAGTGCTGTAGAGCACTCTTTGAGTCGGTTAGAATAACAACTGACTGCTCATTTGACAATTGATCCACTACATACTGTAACGCTTCTTTGATGGCAATAATCTATGCTCTCATAATGCATATGTCAATGTGTGCCCTCCACATGTAAGATGCATTAGACTGAGTATCCAGAAGGGCAGCTCCAACACCACGAACCGACTTAGAACCGTCTGTATATATGTTATAGAAACCAGTATAATATTTTGATAACATAAACAATGCGGAATTTCTTAGTTGGTAATCATAGGAACTGCGCTTGGTTTCTTTATTGTAACGGATTTTATCAATAATACAACTATTGTCTATGGCAGTAACCCAGATGTCCAGGGAATACATTCCAAGTTTTGGTTCTTCAAAAATTTCTATGTCTCTGAACTCAGTGTAAATTTTAGCAAAAATGGGAAAGTTGGTTCCACTGAAGCTATTGCGCCGTGCTATTAAGTTATGAAAAACCTTTACAATATTTTTATTGGAACCATTATTTAGTCTGAACAAAAACCTACAGCGTAACCAATAACGCCTAACAGATAGGGGAGGAAGAGAGAGTTCACTCTCCATAGCGTAGACTGGGGTGCTACGGATAAAGCCTCTGCAGATTCTAAGTGCTTGATTTTGTAACACATCTAGCTTTTTTAAGTGGGTTTTGGCACAACTGCCATATATGAATCCACCAAGATCTGACCTACTTCTGATAAGAGAAATGTATAGTCTACGTGAATGTTTGGGGTGAACTCCCCACAACCTTCCCGCTAATACCTTTAAAATGTTTAAAAGTTTTTTTCACAAATGTATTGAGCACTTCATCGCATCAAAGAATCGAACCACAATATTAAATATTTAAACTTTTTATTTTTTAGTATTTGACTGTGAATATTAATATTAAGGTTGATTTCTTTTCTAGATTTTGTAACTATACATACATTGGATTTAGATTCTGAAATAAACAGCCCAATACTCTCTAATATAGTCACCATGGCTTTCTCTACTGTCTTATACAATACAAAATCATCTGCATATTGAGAAATACTGACATTTTTAATAGTATTTCCAATGTACATGGTGGCTATATTAAATAGCAACGGAGAAATAGGATCTCCCTGAGCCAGTCCCCTGCGAGTGTGCCTGGTGAAGGGTTCTTTCTCACCTTCTGAACCTTTCAAGGACCCCAGCTCCCCTGTTCACCTGACCTCAGTCCCTGTGACTTTCAAAAGACATCCAAACTTCCAAAAGAGTGTGACAGACATACCAAAGACCATACCAGTTGAAGACGCGCTGCTACCATCAATGGGAACTACGTCTCCATAGGTGTGTAGCTGCCCAAGGGAACTACTTTGAAGGGGGTAACATTGATGTTTAGAAAAAATAAAAACTTTCGTAAATAAAAAATCACTCTCATTTCTTTTCTACCACACCTCGTATGTTCCATGAATAGGTATGCATATCAATTATCAATGTACCTATGTGATTATAATAGTCCTATTATAACTGAATACTTTTTAAAACACAAATGAGTTTATAAATGTTTCAGAATATATAGTGAAATAAATTGTTATTGCTAAGTATTGTATTTTATAGTACATTGAAATTTATTTCATTAGTATAGTACAATTGTGTTGTATGTTATAGAATAGTGGAAATTACAATGAATAATGACTAGAAGATGCAACAAGTGAATGAATTTATGTATCTAACTCTGTTACCAATTAAGCCAAGTTTTAAAGTGATAATTAAATATAACTGAAAGTCACAACCTTGAAGCGTATGTTGGGTACATCGAGTATATAACCAGAAATAGAGACGAAATGTCATTTAATTTGTTTGAAAAGCAATTCTGCCATATCAGCCCGAGTTCGAAACAATGGACGGGTGTCGTCAACTGTTTCACTTCAAATCGACCAGTTAACTTGAGCTTTGCTATAATGGACGAAAATTGCAAAATTACATGTTTAATATTTAATTACCGATGAAATGTGATTCCGTTTGTTTTGTAATTAGATGTTTTGCTGTTTTTCCTACACCACCGAATAGAACAGCACGGCATTGTTAGAGATATTATCTTTGTTACAATAAATACAGAATATTTTTAGGAATATACGGAGACGTACACACAGGTCAGTAATTGGCCTGTCTATGTATACTCGATGGTTGGGTGTAAGGTGAAGAAGCAAGTTGGGTATTAACCCAAAATCAATTGATGCTGAGAAAAGTTACACTTTTTATGATGATCAGTAATCTGAGTATTTAGAGGCTATTTTTGCCACATGCAACTTGCAGGTATAATATGGATATACCTTTGTGATACAATTCATTCTTTTTAAAAAACCTGTGATTTCTTTAATTAAAAAAAAAAGTTTGGTATTAATTATTTACGTTGCTGCTAGTACTGGTATGTTTAAATTTGTTTTTAAATGTATTTGAAAAGACAATAGGAAAACAATACACTCTAAGTACATAGGTAAACATTTCTTTCTCAAATTAAAACATAGGGAATATAAGGTCTAAATTTCTTCACTGAATGGTGAAACATCAATCAAATGATGTTTTGTTTAAAACCTTCACTTGAAATGGTCAAGGAGAACAGCGCATTATATATATATATTGAACATTATATTTGAGATCATTGACCCTAAATAGTTCCACCTACTCGGATCACTCTTTATGAGTAACTCAGAACTGTGAATAGTAATTAAAACAGATCAAATTATTTGTTGCAGTGATATTGGGCTGCAGAAGCCCTGGAAAGCCTCCCTAATAATAATAATTGCCAATATTTTGATATTTCAGTATGATGTTTGTATTCCAGATTATGTCCATTATTCAAGCCGTATTTAGAAGCTATACATAAGGACTTAGAAAGCAAGTTACAACAAGAGTAAGTTTGATCTTTCAATAAAAAATTACAGCTATAAATATTCCCCATAGGTTTTAAATATTGTAGTAATTTTATGAATGTACGTGTTTAGAAATATTTGATTTTGCTCACCAAAAGCACCAAAGACAGCTGAGCAAGGTTGGTATGTTTGCACAAAAGGTGATATAAACCACGATAAGCATAATAATGCTTAGGTTGCCTGCTTGTTTACAACCATACCATAGACAGAAGACAAGGTTGGTGGTGGCTGGTCTAATATAAAATTAATATACAGGTTAAAGAAAATGGAAGCAGAAAGGGCACACCAAGAGCTGCAGCATAGAGTAATGCAGGAGAAACAGAAACAGCAGAGCAACAAAGTATCTGAAGAAGAACAAGTGTAAGTATTGTTGGGGAGGGGAGAGGTAAAAATGGTGGATAATATGTAAGATTGGATTTTTCTAATTATATCAAGTGACGAGACGTATGCGACCCCTAACAGTTGTAGTGCCACTCAGAGCTTTATATTACAAAAATCTCAAATTGGGTACTGCCACTACATCAGTTACCCTGAGACATAAAATTTATAAGACTCATGTGCATGTGTGTAGTTACACCAGCATGCTTGGCATTTAAAATACAGTAATGCTCACTTAACTGCCCTGAACGATCGTTTTCACACGTTGCTACTGAATAAAAAAATAATATAAAAGTTACTTTATTTACTAAATCTACAAAGTTGAGGAAAGAGTTGAACATTGATTTATTAATTTTTTTTAAGCTTTAGTCATTGACCTATTGGCATTGGCTTTAGTTAATGAACTAAATCAATGTTAAATATGTATAATATGATAATATGGCTTACTTATCCAAGACAAGGTATTACAAATTTAGGTATGAATAAAATAAAAAATAAAGCATGTTCATATTTCAGTCAAAGAATAAAAGATGCACTCAACGCGCAAACTTACGATCAGTTCCTGCAATATGCCCAACAACAATTCCCCGGGAATTTCGACCAACAAGCCATTCTGATTCGCCAACTACAAGACCAACATTACCAACAGTACATCCAACAGTTGGCTGTAGACCAACGATTGGCAAATTGCAACATTAACGATACGGAAGAAGAAAACCAGAGTAAAGAGGACAAGGACAATCACCTTAAGGATTGTAATTTGAATGAAACTAATGTTACTAACGTGGATACCAAGTGAGTATGTTTTTATATATTTTTATATAAAAAACTGATAGCCACGTAGTAATGGATTGACCTACCGTCTCTCTGAGTTTTTACGGATTTTATGTACGAAATTTAATTTGAAATTTACTATGAGCTTTTTGGTAACGGAAAACGTGATGAAATCTGCACTTCGAAGAGGGTTTGAAATCTTCGGAAAACTGTGTCCCATCTAAATGTGAGAGTCATAATGGCGGGTGTACCTTAACGGATCCTGACGAATTTGGAACCAAAAAAAATGTACCTGATTTGTACTATTAGTACCTCTGTTTAAAAAATTTGTATCTCCATCAGAACGAAATTAATGCAATATCAAAGGTACACCCGCCGTATTGACTGTCAATATGGCGGGTGTACCTCGGATTACCAGTATTTATTTAATAACTATAAAAGCTTCTTATTCCAAAAATTTGTACCTTAATGGTACTCTGAAGTAAAGGAAACTCCAGCTCGATCTGCTGGTTAGTTTCTGAGAAAAATAAGACAACATACTCGTATATTGAGATTTCAGAGTGCCGTGTGCATCTTTAATGAATCCTGACATATTTGGTACCAAAAAAATATACCAAGATTGCACTATTTAGAACTTATTGTTAAAAAATTTGTATATCTATAATAACGAAGTTATAGCGAATATTTTTCATGCAATGAAAAATGAAAAAAAAATTTCATGCAATGGTCGGAAAAAGGTGTTCCATATACATATATACATATATCATATAGCGTACATATATAATATATATATATATGTATATATAAATATATATATATATGTGTGTGTGTGTATATATATATATATATAATATAATATACGTATAAACGTATAATGTACGAAAAAGGTCTTATTTGTAATTTAATAATAATAACATAATAATAACACACACACTCAACATAGCCCCGCACTAGGGAAACCCTGTGTCGCAGGTGCCATGGACACACATATAGACAACCACAAATTACACCCAAACTCACGAGAGAAACAAATGTAGGTCATACAAATATTTCTCCCGGCCCGGGAATCGAACCTGGGACCTCTGCGTGGCAGTCCGGCATGGTAACCGTTCGGCCACAGAGGCAGTTTAATTTGATTGTTGTCTATAAATTTTACTTACAATGAACTATGAGACATCAAATCTCTTTGATCTTTCCGTGTGTCATAAGAGCAATGTTGTACGTTAATTTATTTAACTGCAGCATGTTCATTATTTTGATGAAAAATCACAACAACTACTGATTAAGATAAGCATATATGTTCATATCAGTAGCTTAATAAAATTTTATCGATTTCTACATTCTACCCGTGCTATTACAATGTATTGACTACTGTTGTCCAATTTTAAACGGTTTATACAATTTCAGGTCTTTACAGACTTTCGATAAAGGTGAAACCGCTGAATACTCTGAGGAAATGAGGCCGGATGAGGAATCGGAAAACGAGGGTAACAAATTATCTAATCGATTCTACACATTAAATGCTGATATGCGATGTAAGCGACGATATAAATGTTTTTAAACCATACCACTGCTGTAATAGAGTTGCTTACCCAATAAAGTTATGTAGGCCCTGACAGTAGTTTATACAGCAATCTGGAGAGTACTCTGAAATATTACAGGACGATTGTTTGTCGATCCCGCATTACAAACAATTCTTTATGTAGTGAGAGTTCAATCTAAAGTAGTCTTAATGCACTTGAAACTTTCTTCATGGTTATTTATAATTTAGTAAAAACAATGTTTTTATCGATCAATTTTCAGATTTATTTAATTTAATATTATCGACTTAATCAATCACAGGCCAATGCTAAGAAACTAACCACCTAGTAGTCCATATTAACCAAGTCCAACGATTGAGTAAACGAAATTGAAATACACAAAATTACAATTATTTGTTAGATGGGTTTTCGAGCGTGGACGAAGCATCTATGTGGACGTCTGGTGATATCAACAAGTTCAAGGAGTCTGCAGGCGCCGGTGGAGGGAAGCTCACTGTAGGGCATGGAGAAACTGTCACCGTGCGTGTGCCTACGCACCCGCGCGCCACTAAACTTTGCTGGGAGTTTGCTACCGACAGCTATGACATTGGTAAGTTACTCCTATTAATATAGTAATATCAATATCACCACTTGGTACGGTTTAGACATACTCATTTCGCTTTCACCAGTATACGTTATTCAGTAGACTTGTCTTGCTCGGTCTTTAAAGTGAATAAATGGGTCAACTGAACTAGTCCGGTCTTCTAGTTCTTTTAGTTCGTCTTGTACTTGCTAGGAGATCGAATGAACGCTCCAAACTAGTATTTTTATTCAAATTAACTACATCAGACTTCTAGTACTTTAGATCAATAATACATCTTTAATTAAAACTACAATTTTATATGAAATCGGCACTACTTGATTAATTTGACAATTAGAATTGTGTCTTTGAGTGTTACGTATTATAGACTTAAACTGGCTGACAACATCCAGCCGTACATCTCACTTGAATTTGTACTAAAAGCCGTGAAACATCGCTTATTATCCTGTTCCTACTGAACTGAATTGAGAATCGATAAAGGCTATGGAAGGAATACATTGAAGAGTTATTTGACGATCAACATTTCGAGTAACGATTACATACGTGCACAACAAACTGGACCACCTATTACGAAGGATGAAGTTTCCCACGCAAACCAATCTGCAAAAAGCGGGAAAGCAGTGGACTAGATGAAATTGCCGTCCAAATCCTAAAATTATTAGAATAATAACACATGGATATTATTATATTCCTTCAGAATGGCTTCACCTTATCTTTATAGCTTTGCCAAAAATTAGCACCATTAATGAGCCACATCCTGAAAGTGTTTCTCAAGGTTATGCATGAAAGAATGAAGTGTGAAGATAACATTTGGAAGAGACAGTTCAGTTTTAGAAATGGTTATGGAACACGCGACGCACTTTTTGGGTTACAAAATACTTATGCAACGCTGTTGAGATACGTATGGATGCGCTTACATGTGTTTCATCGACTATGAGAAATCATTTGATTATGTGAAACATGATAAGTTGATAAAGATCTTGGAAAAGATAGGCCTAGATTCTAAAGACATCTTCGTGATTAAAAATATTTACTGGCAGCAGATAACAAATGTACGCGTAGAGCAAGAACTCACAGACGATTTGGAGCCAAGCCAAGCCAAGCCAGGAGTGCCTTTATTAAAATGAGCCACCTCCCTGGCAATAGTAGTCTCAAACTATCGACAAAGTGCCGTTTAGTGCGGTGCTACAGATTTTCTATTCTTTTGTACGGAATAGAAGCATGGACACTAAGTATACGGCTAGAAGCCTTCGAAATGTGGGTTTATCGAAGAATGTTGAAAATATTGTCGACGGATAGTCACCAATGACAACGTATTGCAGAGGATGCACAAAGGCTTGCAGCTCCTGAAAATAGTAATAATTATAACATTTTTATTAAAAAAAACCGACCTCAAAAGTTCGTGGAATAGGGAATCGGACAATTTTTCAGAAAGTGTCTAGAATTAACTAAAATAGATATGTACAGCCATGAAAAATAATATTTTATTAAAATAAAGCTTAATAGTCTCTAAAATGTGCTAAAACTACGTTAAAATTTAAATAGAAACAAATTGGCGCGCAAACGTAACAAAATGTCAAATTGAACGCGTGACGTCATTTGTAGGTAAACAAGCTACGAAATCAAGGGCAAGGTGTTATTTTAAAGTTTTTGTGAAGTTTGAAGTCGTTATGGAACGGAAAACATATCGTTGGTGTGTAGTACCTCAATGTAGGAATACTTCTATAACTACCCCAAATAAACTATTTATTGATGTACCTCGAAAATCCGACATACGAAAAAAATGGTTGGTCCTAGCACGACGAAATGTCTGTAAATTCAGCGATATACTTTTGTGAGGATCACTTCGACGTAAGTACACTTTATGCAGTGAGTGATACATAGATCGAAGCATGTGTTAATAATTAAATAGTAAATGTTGTGTTATATTCGCCAGTGCCTTTAATTATGTAATGTAATAATTATGTATTCGAATTTTAGCTGCCGAATGATATGGAAAATTACATGCGATGGAAGGACTGTACATTACCATCGCACGATTTGAGGGGTGGGAGGGGGGTAGGGGGAAGGGGGGACCCTTCGTGCAAAGTTTCAAAGTTAGGACGTTAATAGTTTTCGATATATTAATTTTTGAAAATTCGAAAAAAATATCCTCAAAAAATCATGTTTTCGCACCAAAGAGTAAACCCCTCCCCCCGAACCCCTGGCGGGAGAAATCCACCCCCAGACCCTCCCCCCTGTCTCCACTTCCTGTGTTATATGAGAAACTAAATTTCCCACCTCTCAAATCGTGCGATGGTAATGTACAGTCCTTCCATCGCATGTAATTTTCCATATCATTCGGCAGCTAAAATTCGAATACATAATTATTACCAGTGTTGGGCGTTAATCAATTAAATTTCAATCAATAATTCAATCAGATTAAAAAATCAATTCAATTGAAATCAATTGCAATTAAATCAATTGCGACGCGTCGCAATTGATTTAATTGCGATTGATTTTAATTGCAATTGATTTTAATTGCAATTGATTTCAATTGAATTGATTTTACTTGCAATTAAATTTGCAATTAAAATCAATTCCGGTCGGTTGGGGGCCCCGGTTGGGAGCCCCGGTTGGGGGCCCGGTTGGAAGCCGCGGTTGGGGGCCCCGGTTGGGGACCCGGTTGGGGGGCCCGGTTGGGGGGCCCGGTTGGGGCCCCGGTTGGGGGCAGGTTCAGAATGGCTTCACCTTATCTTTATAGCTTTGCCAAAAATTAGCACCATTAATGAGCCACATCCTGAAAGTGTTTCTCAAGGTTATGCATGAAAGAATGAAGTGTGAAGATAACATTTGGAAGAGACAGTTCAGTTTTAGAAATGGTTATGGAACACGCGACGCACTTTTTGGGTTACAAAATACTTATGCAACGCTGTTGAGATACGTATGGATGCGCTTACATGTGTTTCATCGACTATGAGAAATCATTTGATTATGTGAAACATGATAAGTTGATAAAGATCTTGGAAAAGATAGGCCTAGATTCTAAAGACATCTTCGTGATTAAAAATATTTACTGGCAGCAGATAACAAATGTACGCGTAGAGCAAGAACTCACAGACGATTTGGAGCCAAGCCAAGCCAAGCCAGGAGTGCCTTTATTAAAATGAGCCACCTCCCTGGCAATAGTAGTCTCAAACTATCGACAAAGTGCCGTTTAGTGCGGTGCTACAGATTTTCTATTCTTTTGTACGGAATAGAAGCATGGACACTAAGTATACGGCTAGAAGCCTTCGAAATGTGGGTTTATCGAAGAATGTTGAAAATATTGTCGACGGATAGTCACCAATGACAACGTATTGCAGAGGATGCACAAAGGCTTGCAGCTCCTGAAAATAGTAATAATTATAACATTTTTATTAAAAAAAACCGACCTCAAAAGTTCGTGGAATAGGGAATCGGACAATTTTTCAGAAAGTGTCTAGAATTAACTAAAATAGATATGTACAGCCATGAAAAATAATA